CCGGGTCCGGGACGTGAACCGCGGTCGACTACGTGGGAGTCCAGCGACATAGCCATTACGCTAACTGTTGGTTCCCCCCAATGTGTTTTTCAAGTTGGGCCTGGGACTTGAACAGTGCAGTCTGCCATGTAGGATTCAGCCACCTTCACTGTCACACCACCAACTGACCCAGTTTCTTTTATCCCTTTCCTTTTCATCTGATTCCTTAGCTCTTGACACATTTCCTTGCTTAATCATCACCAAGATCTGGGCACGTATCTCAGTATTAGAGTCAGTTAATATGTGCCGTGTTTCCTAATACATCTAATCTGTTACTTTAGGGGGAAAAACGTATTTGAGCTTTAGAAATGCCCCCCCACACACACACACACAGGTCAATGATTATTAAGTATTTTAAATGTTCACTGACTTACAGACTATTTATTCAGTCATAGGATGTAAGAAATGATTGATCTGTCAAAGAAGTCATGGACAAAGTCAAGCACTAAAAACCTGTGCAGTGAATCTATGTGCACACCTAAAACCCACCTTGTGGAATTCTTCCAGGTCAACTAAGCAGGTGCCCAGGTCACGTGCTCATTACTGCATACTGGTGGCTGGAGCCTCTGGGGCATGTCTTCCTCATTAAGACAAGTCAGGTAGTATATATGTCCCAGCAGATGAATCATAGCCAGTCAGAACAAACCCATTTCTCTCTGACACTTATCCATCTTTTCAGTCTCCCTTGTAGCAATAAAAACTTAAAAGAAATTCTTGGGAAGTGTTTTTCTCCTTCATATAAACAAAGCTGTAAAGATAATTCATGTCCCTACCATTCTCATACTTCCTGCCTGTGAAAATGTGATGTCTGGAGCCGCAGCAGCCACATTATGACTAAGCGGAAGTCCATGCATCACAAAGATGCTGACCCAAAGTTGGGAAGCAAATCTTGGGACCAGCGACTTAAGTCATTTTGTTAATAGTAAATGCCTACTTGCTATCCTCTACTAATCAATGTATTAACTGTGTCTTTTATTTTCAGTATTCAGATGTTTCATGAGCCTGGAGGGACTACCCCTCCCAGAGTTAACTAATTCTTAGAGATAATAAACAAGTCCCTAGCACATGTTTTCCAAATGCAAACCAACCAATCAGAGCCCACACCCCAACAACCCCCTTTCCCAGGCTCTCACACACCAGGCCACTATCCACCTGACCTCACCAACCTACAGAGGAGTCAGGTACCTGATAATAAGGGACAGCCCTTATGTCTCAGAGCCTGATGAAGTGATTCAAATCCATCACCCCTAAACCCACACACTCGGCCTTATCCATTCCTTCCCACACAAACCACATCAACAGCTCCTTCTCAGAGTCCCCTCTCTTCTGTCTCCTGACCAACCCTGGAGCTTCCCCAGGTGGCCCTGCATGGCACAGCGTGCCTCCTCTTCCTGGAATCTGTGAGTAACAAACTATTTAACAGCAGCTGTCTTCTCATCTGTTGGCCTTGCCATACCTCACATTTTCTATTTTACCACATTTCAGAACACTCATGGGGCTAAATGCCCCCAAGCTGTATAATCTGAAAGGCACTTAATCCCATGAGAATTCCACAAATCTAGGTAATTTTGCCATAGTCTAGAAAAATAATGCTAGTATCAGTCCACCTACCCATAGCAAAAGGTGGATTCAAGCCTCTAGGGGTAATATGTAGGTGCTACACCCGGTATCAATGCATACCATACTCAGGACAAGGTATTTTAAAAACAGTGCTCCTTGGAGCCAAAGAAAAGACATGGATCAGATATGGGCTCAGCTCCGGGTCCTCATCAGCAACTCCTGGAGTCCCACCAGAGATTCTGCACTGATGAAAGGATTTCATGCCCAAAGTAGTTTTGCAAACTCTCCCTTTAGACAGTTCACATTCCTTTTGCTGGAGCTGCTGATGCATGCAGAAATCATCCCCTCACTAATTTCCAGTGCTGTGAAATTTTTATTTAGACCATGTACAAGTGATTCCTACTGGGAATATTTAAAAAAGAAGAAACTAGGGCTGGAAAGAGAAAAAGGAATGATGATAAGCAAGCAGCCTGGGTTTCTATACCACAGAGGGAGGAAGTATGGGGAGGGGCATGGCACGACAGTCTGTAGAACTGAAGGGAACATAAACTGGGCTCAAGGAGACCATATATTAGATAGAAGCAAAATTCAACAGTAACTCCAGGTTAGAAAAAAAATTTAACAACACCAAACATGAAGGCTGTAAGCTCAAGGAAATAGGGGGAAAAACTCCTAGATTGCATGTCCCTTGCAACAAAGCCAAGTGAATGTCTAAGAATATCTTTTCATCTTGTGAAGGTGAGACTCAACACAGAAATAGGCTTGCAAAGACTGCCGATACCAAGGAATGTTAACAGCAATCGCACTGGGCCAGCAGGAAGTACAGTGGTTAAAGTGCTGGACTTCCATATGGTCGACTACGGTTTGAGTCCCAGATGTGGCAGCTTGAGAATCAAAATGGGCGTGTGTGTGTGTGTGTGTGTGTGTGTGTGTGTGTGCCCAAAATCCCAAGAGGAGAATGAAGGAGAAGGGACTGAGGCCTGGCCATACTCCAGGGGATGATTTTTCACTTTCCCTCTCTCTCTCTGTCTCTCTCTAGTGAGCATATGCACCTATGGCAAAAACCTAAAAAAAGGAAATAAATAAAAAAGCGATCGCATTATGCAATACCTGTTATTACTAATGCAGGTTCTATACCAGATGTTAGAGTAGCTTTATTTGGCAGGCTCATTCCTTTTTTTTTATTTCCTCATTACAGTGAAACAATTTTCAAGGGCCTTTATGGGTCACTTGTAACCTCCAAAACCACAGCATAACTTCTTCCATAGAATCTTAAAATACCATTGAAATGGAATCTATGAAGGCACTAAATCACAGTTACAATATCCAATAAGGATAAAGCTTTCCTAGACGTGGGGTCATTAAGCATGCACTTTCTTCTTTCTTTCTTTCTTTTCTTTTTCTTTTTGGTAGGTTTTCCTTTTTTTCTTTTGCTCTCTCTCTCTCTTTTTTTTTGCTATAAGTTATTGCACTTGCTAGAGAGAGACAGAGGGAGGAGAGAGGAAAAGTGAGAAATCACACCCAGGTTGGGAGGCCACACCACAATCTCTTCTCCTCCATTCTCCTCCTGGGATTTTGGGCACACATGCCCTGTATGATTTTCAAGCCTCCAGGTTCAGGACTTGAACCACAGGTGGCCATGTGGGTAGTCCAACACCTTAACCCCCACATCACCTATGACTGTTAAGCATGCACTTTCTATCCTCAGGGGAGAACAAGGAGAGGGACGTCACCTTGCTCGGAGAGCAGGATATGCCTCAAGAGGGTGTAAAGAGGGAACCAGCAGTTAGCGTAATGGCTATGTCGCTGGACTCCCACATAGTCGACCGCGGTTCGTGTCCCAGACCCGGTGGCTTAAAACTCACGCCGGGCACGTGTGCGTGCGTGCCCAAGATCCCGAGAGGAGAATGGAGGAGAAGGGATTGCGGCATGACCATCCCCCCAGGGGGTGATTTCTCACTTTCTGTCTCTATGTCTCTCTCTGTCTGGCGAGCGCACGCACCCTACAGTGAAAATCTCTCAAAAAAAAAAAAAAAAAAAGGAAAAAAAAATGGAAAAAAAAAAAAAAAGAGGTTATAAAGAGCAGGAACTGTAGGGAGGGTTGTTATGCCCCAGAAACAAGTAGTGAGGGCCACGTGGTCAGTTTTCAGACATGTGTCCATATAAACAGTCACAAGAAAATTGGCAGGGATCACCTTAATTGAATGGCCAGAGCTGAGCTTGGATTTTCTTTTATAATAAAGGATATTACTGGGACAAGTCGTGTACCGCACAATGACCTTTCGGTTGATGAGACCACAGTGACAACACCGGTCCCATAAATTGTACCACAGAGCCTGCCGTGTTAGGTTATACGGTCTAGGTTTGTATAAACACACTCATGTCCACACACAGCGAGATCACCTGACAGTGCATTTCTTTCTCTTTCTTTATTTATTTTTAGAGGTTTTTGCTACAGGATGCGTGCACTCGCCAGACAGACAGAGAGGGACAGAGAGACCGAAAGCAAGAAACCACCCCCTAGGGGGATGGCCACGCCGCAATCCCTTCTCCTCCATTCTCCTCTCGGGATCTTGGGCACGCACGCACACGCACCCAGTGAGAGTTTTAAGCCACCGAGTCCAGGACGCAAACCACAGTCAACTACGTGGGAGTCCAGCGACATAGCCATTATGCTAACTGCTGGTCCCCTAACAGTGCATTTCTCAGAACATATCCCCATCATGAAGCAATACCTGACCAGACAGTAGCAATGATGAGCTTTGATCACTAGAACACTAAAGTTCCATAAGGGAATATCCCTGGTTTCAGGAAACACTACCTGCAGCAGGTGGAGGCATAATATCTGTAACCTACTCTTGAATGGTTCAGAAAAAAAAATAAAATGAGAGAGAGAGAGAATAAGCCATACGTGATCGAATGTGATCAAACTGTTACCTTTATGTACAGGAATTCATCATAGTATGTTGGCAACTTTTCTGGGACTCTAACACTAGGTCAGAATTGCAAGCTGGAGGAGGGCTAAAATCTATAGCCTGGTGGTTAAGGGAGTTAGACGCCACATGGTCAAATGTGGTTCGAACTGCAGCTCCAGAAGCTTGGACACACACCAGGCATACATGCATACGTGCCCCAAATCCTGCCAAGATGCAGAAGTGCATGTGAAAGGACTGCAGTGTGATGACGCCTCACTGTGGGATGCTTTCTTTTGCTCTCCACTGTCTCTCTCTGGCAAGGGCACGTGCACTCTGGCAATTAACATATATAAACCTTAGAACGTTTTAAAAAGCTGGAAAAAAAAAAAAAAAGGAAAGAAAAAGCCCACCACACGGAGCCGCTGAGACAGGGAGCTTGGGCCTCTCTGGGCACATTTCAAACTGCCGGGCAAGGCAGGCACTTACAGAACGCTTGTCGGCCTCGGCGCCTTGCTGGCCCTGCAGACATGCGGTGAGTTTCTTGTGTGTGCTGTGGGACACTTGCTTCACCAACTCCAGGCGCTTCTCCACCTGCGGACAGAACGGGAGAGTGAGGGCAAGGTTGGGAATGGGTGGGGCAACCACGACCCACATTTCCACAGAGACAAGGCCTTCTAGGAAGACCCCTTTCAGCACTGGAGAACAGGAGGGGAGTGACTGCAGGATCTGAGGCTTCTGCAGCCATGGAGTGAAGTGATTTTCAATCTCTCCTGAAGGCCCTTACCTAGCCTGGTATTCCACGTGCAAGGTATCCTCTTACAGACAGAAATTTGTCTCTCTCGACAGTTGAGGAGAAGCAGGAGCAATTTAAACAACATTGCGAATGGCATCATTTTAAAAGGAAAAACATCAGTGACGCCCTTACCTGGAGGAGAAGCAGGAGCAATTTAAACAACATTGGGAATGGCTTCATTTTAAAAGGAAAAACATCAGTGACACCCTTACCTTAAGAAGGTCCTCGCTCAGGACTTCTGTTTTTTCTGCCCTGAAGGGAAAGTTGAGAAACGTGTCAGTGAAAACCAAAAAACATGGTCTCATCATCACTCCTGGTGCTCTTCCCTATGGCAACACTAAAATCAAAAGCAACATGAGCAGCAGCAACTTCTCACAAGAGCGCACATGAAGGGAATCTAGAAAATTTGTGGAAAACCGGAATGAATTTGAATAGATCAAAATAAATAAGCTTTAATGAATTAAAAATGGAATTAATCATACAGAAAAATAAGTATAGATTTCAAAAATCTCTTGTACCAAGATAAACTCGTTTAATTCCATTTTTCCATGAACTCGTTGACACTCCCATAGATAGAAATGCTGGAATTTACCGAGAGCCTTAACTGACTAGCACAGACAGCAAGATCTCAGAGTTTCCTGCTACACACAGGACCTGCGTGGCCAACAACAAACGTGATTCCTTTGTCTCCAAACCTAAAGATATGTTTAAGTAACAGAATCTAAACAGGCTACCCCACCTACACCTCTTGGCCTCCCTTAAACAAGCAAGTGTAAGTAGCAGAAACCTGAGAAGAGATTGGTAAACAGCAGAGAAAGAGACAATACGGAGTCCTGGCAACTGATGCAAACACCCGCCAAGGCGTGCCACCAAGTGTTAGGTGCTCCAGAATGCCAGGGATGGAGCTGAGATTCCCTTGTTCAGGGAAAGAACTTGAATGCTGGAGAAGTAGTATCAACCTGTGAGCAACCCCTGCACATGGGTGCTACTTAACACACTCGCTATTTCTCATTCTCTCATACAAACCACAGATTCGCATGAAAACAAATATCAAGATTTAAGAGTACAGGCACCAGCAGTTAGTTTAATGGCTATGTCACTGGACTCCCATGTGGTCAACTGCAGTTTGAGTCCTAGATCTAGTGGCTTAAACTCATGCCGGGCGTGTGTGCATGCATGCCCAAGATCCCAAGAGGAGAATGGAGGAGAAGGGATTGCGGTGTGCCCATCCCCCTGGAGGATGATTTCTCGCTTTCTGTCTCTCTGTCTCTCTCTGTCTTTCTGGCGAGAGCACCCGCTCTACAGCAAAAAGCTCTCAAAAAAAAAAAAAAAGAAGATTTAAGAGTACAAAGAGGGGCCAGTGAGTGGTGTAGTGGTCAGGATGCTGGACTCCCACATGACCAACCATAGTTTGATACCTAGACCCAGCAACTTGAAAATCACACTGGACATGTATGCGTTTGTGCCCAAAATCTCGAGAGGAGAATAGAGGAGAAGGGATTGTGGTGCGAACATCCTCCATGGCGGGTGATCGCTCACTCTGTCTTTCTACATCTCTCAGGCAAGCGCATGCACCCTATAGCAAAATCCCTAAGGGGGAAATAAAAAGAGTACAAAGAAAAGACAGAAGAAACAACATATAAAGAGCCTGAAGGACTTTAGCTACTGGAATTATCAAAGACTATAACATAAATGAAATATTTAAGGACAAATGATAGTCCCCTTAGGTCGGACACTTCGACTTACAATATTTTGAATTTATAATGGTACAAAAGCAACAGGTATTCAGTAGAAACCATACTTTCATACACCAAACATACCTTTAAAACTCTGTTTTTTACTTTCAGTACCATATTCAATAAATTACATGACAGTCAATGTTTACTATAAAGTAGACTTTGGTTAGATTATTTTGTCCTACGGTAGGCTAACGTAACTTTCCTGAGCTAAACATGTTTAAGGTAGGCTAGGCTAGGCTATGATGTTTAATAGGTTAGGTGTAATTAACGTATTTTTGACCTGTAATATTTTTAGCTTAATGATCAGTTTATTAGACATATCCCCATCCCAAGTCAAGAAGAATTTGTATTCAAAAAATATATAAGCAATAGGATTTCTGCTTCCAGAAAAAAGAGTGAATGTATTTCTGCAATTCTTCTTCCTAATGGAACTAAACACCCAGGACAATATATATAAATATAAGAAGACTGTGAAAAGGGTAGAGAGGCATTTCGGTTAGGGACCTCCAGAGCCAAGGAATGATATGGTGAAGATGTTTTGCTTCTCATTTCATAGACTTGAAGCTTAAGAAGCTGTAACCCCATGAGTGCTAGCCAGTAGTGCAATGGTACAATGCGATGCTCTGTGAGGGTGACTTGGGAAGGTTCTCAGTTCACATCTGGAGTCATCCTTAGGTACACGGGGCACAACTGTGCCCATGATCCGAGGTTGGATGCAGCTGGGATCCAGGCCCTGTCGGTGCTCTCTCTCCCTCTCTCTTTTTTCCTCTCTTTCTGAAGAATAAATAAGTTTTTTTTTTTTTTGAGAGATTTTCACTGTAGGGCGCGTGCGCTCGCCAGACAGACAGAGAGAGACAAAAAGAAAGGAAGCGAGAAATCACCCC